GAGAAATAACATGCGGGGTACCATACCGTTGAGCACGCCCATATATAGATTCCTGGTATGCTTGCTACATTATTTTATACTTGTAACGGAACTCAAAAAGCTAATCGTACGTTATTTCATGTGTATGATTTCCTTTTCTTTTTATGGAAAAAAAAAAACTTTTGTAACTCTTCTTCTGGCTTATTAATCTCACTGAAATTTTGTATTTATAAAACTTGAATATTTATGACGTTTTTAATTTGTTTTTTTTTTTTTTTTTTTTTCATAAATGAATATAATATATCACACGAATTTGCTCAATAAATTGTCAATTATGTCGAAGAGAATATAAATCAATATTAAAAAAAAGTAGTAAACAATAATATTTAATAATCATTTGAGTGAACAAATACATATGTCGTCGTCACGTAGAGCAATATGATTGATATTTCATTAAGAACATGTTTTTTCTATTCTGAAATAATTGAATTGATGCAGATTTTTTTTTTGTCTTCATTTTCATCAACAAGTTGATGTTTTAGCTCTTGTTATAATGAAGTACTTAGAATCAACATTATAAAAAGGATTTCCGTTCTTTCTCTTGGTCTTTTATCAAATACAAAAAAATGTGTTCACATGAGTATTAATGTGTAATTTGTATATAATAGAAGAAGTGGAAATGCCAAAGGATAAAAGTCAGATCAACAATATTATCGAAGAGGCAAAAAAAAATGAATAAGCGTGGGAGAAGAGGCTTTTGACAATATTTAGCAAAATACATGTTTTTTTTACACTAAACGAATATAAATACAGCTTTCATTTTAGAAACTAATTACTTCCTTATTGTAATATCTATTGTTTAATAGATTTATATATGCCATTAATATGTTCTATACATTAATTTTTAGTATAATATGAATGTCAAAAATATAGATGACTAATATTATAAATAATTACGGAAATATATTCTTAAATTGTTCTATATTTTATTGTTTTTTTTTTTTCAAGTGTTTGTATTAATAAACTACATTGACACGTCTGTATCCATTACTAGTGGATATTGGTTAATATTTTTAATAGCATTGTATAAGTATTCTAGTCATGATAAATATGTATATGAATATTTTCATTCAATATTATCGTTCCATAAATGACCAATTTGATGATTTAATTTAAAAAAAAAGTAAAATTCCATGATTTCCTTTTGCAACGCGTCATTATCATTATTTTCTCTCGCAACACCTACTGCTTCTTTTTTTTACAGTCGTAGAATCTAGATAATTTTTTTTTTCTTATTTGTTTTCTCTCTCCCTCTCTCTCTGATTCTCGCTTATATATATAGTATATAAGTAGAAATCATGTCAGTTTTACGTATTCTCACTTAAAAATTGTAATCAACAACGAAATTATGAATGTAATATTTTTGTTTTAGATACATTTTCTTTTTTTTTGTTTCCTTTGACTTAAATCAAAATGGTTGCCATATTAATTTCAATCCATCGATTATTATTATTTCTTGTCCTTATTCAATCAACTTCTCTCTATAAAATCTATACTTTAGACAATAACGTAAGTTAATTAAAACGTTCGTTTTTTGTTTTGTGATTTAAATAATAATATTTTAATTTAAAAACTTTAGCCTACTGCAGATATATTCAGTGATTCATTGTCATCTTCTTATGATAAAGAATTTGATCAAGCATTACCTATAAAAAATATGGAATCTGATTATAATGATATAGGTTTTGATGCAAATATTGACGAAAACAATGATAGTTTAACACCATGGTTATCACTTCTATCAGACATAAAACAACATCAAAAACCTTCATCGAAACGTTCAATTTTTCCATTTCGATTTCGTTCATCCAATAATTTATTACAACGTCGCAATAATCGACCACATTGGAATCCACTTGTAGCTGCATATAAACGATGTGGTGAATTATCAACACATGAAGAACGTGAATCATGTTTCAAGGATGCTGTTCAAAAGCTTTTTGTTTTTAAGTTACGAAAATAATAAAAAAAATTTGAAACAACAAACACAGCTGAAATTATCAAATAAAAAGAAAACTAGCAACAATAATAATAAGCATTTCTAAAAAATAGTCATAAATCGTTCCTTTTTTTTTATGTTGTGCAAGCATGTATGTGTGTATGTCTTATCAAAAATACAAAAAAAAAAAAAAAACGATTAGTTAAGCAACATTCAATTCATAATTCTATAAAATCTCTTCACATTGTTATGTATTGTCCATAAAAAAAAAAGATAAGAGAAATCTAATGAGGTAAAACTAGTACACTGATTAAATAGAATTTTTTATTTAATAATCTCATAATAATTTCATGACTTTATAAATAGATGTGTTCTTTAAGTCTATTGAGAAATCTACTGATTTGATTTAGACGAAATAAGAAGACAAAAAAGTGTGTAACATTTTTTATTGATATTAGTGAATAAGCTGATACTTACATGCATGCACATATTTTATTATCGTCTTATTCTGACAAAGAGTTCTTATCATCTTTTTTTTTTTTTTTTGTTTTGTTAACACTTTGTTTAATTAAGATTTAGTTAGAATTGATAATTAACATTTAAAACAACAATTAACTAGATTGCTCAAATTTATTTTACATCTTTAATTCACCTGAGTACAAAAAAAGAAAAATATGTTCATTGTAAAACAAATGAAAAAAAAATGAAGGCATAAAAATGATAATTATGATTTTTTTTTTTTTTAAATTTTCTTTTATGTTTTAACCAATCATTTGTTTTTGTTCTCTTTCAAGAACACGTAAAATATTTTCCAAAAACATATAATCGGATCGTTGTAATTGAAATTTTCGTAATATATTCTGTACTAATTCAGAATTATGATCAATTTGTATTGTATGTGATGAATCATTTGATAACATTGAATTTATTAATGTTTGTGTAGGTAATTCTGTAACTGTATTATTTGTTCCCATGCTACGTTGATCATCTGTATCACCACTTGTATGACTTGCTATTGATGATGAGTCACCAAATGAACTAACACTTTCATGACTACATAACTAAAAAGTAAAATAAAAAGATTCTCTATTATTTATTAATATTTTATTTTTAAATATGTATATCAAAAAGTCATAGATTGAATCTGTTTTAAAGAATGATATTCGCTGTAATAGAGAAAAAGAATATTTAAGCCTGAATATCATACAAATATATTCTACATATGTAGAAATTTGTGTGAATAAGACTTCTTTTTTTTTTTTAAATTTTAAAGCAACAGCGTAAATATGAATTAGTTTTTTTTTTTCATTTGTCAAAAAGATATATTAATATTCATTAAAATAGAAATCGGATGTTATCTTTCATCTTCTTTGTTTTCTACTCTTATAATAAATATATATATATATATCATAGTTTAAGAGGATTATATATTTCTCATCTTTTTGTTCGTTTGCTTTTCTCTATTGAGGTTATGTTAACTTTGAAAAAAGATTTGTCTTAACAAAAAAATGAAATAAAATCATGTAATTTTTTTTATAATTAAGTTTGAAGACTTGTTAGGTTTCAAAAGTCTTTAAAAAAAAAAAATTTTTTTTTTTTCTTCTATCTTAAAAATATACTTACTGTTCTATTATTTGCTTTCATATATTTAAGAATAGCTAAAGCTAGAAAATAAATTTCTTGTAAACTATCTTCCATATTTAATAAAGCAAAATCAGCTGGTAAGAATTGTTGAGCTAAATGTGCATGTTTAATTAATGGTTTAATTAATGTTGTACATTCTTGTCGTCGTGCTATATCATTATGTTTACTTGAATATAAATTAACAGATATATCATCTAAATTAATTAATATTGTTATTGATGTATCAATTTGTTCACCATTAAGAAAACTACCACCATTTTCTGATATATCATATGTATGTTGAGATATTATTGAATGACGTATATCATTTATATTTGTTGTTTCAATAGCTTGTAAAATAAAATCTGATGAATAAGATGATGTAACTGATGATATTAATGAAAGTGCTAAATCTAAATGATAATCATTATTTATTTCTATTGATTCATGACCAAGATTAGAAGGTTCAAATAATGATAGAGACATAAGAGTTTTTATTGGTGTTGATGGTATAACTGATTTTATTGGTGATTGTAATGTTAGAGATGTTTTTTTATCTGGTTTTTCAGACAATCTAAATAAAATTTCAAATAGTCATTTTATGATATATATATATATAATAGAAATTTGTAGTCTTCAAAAACGTTGAAATGAAAAATATCGAAAATGAGACTTTCTTTTTGTTTCTGAAATAGTTGGAAGACATTTTATTTAAAGATATAGAAAAGAAGGCGCATTATTAAAACTAGAAACAGATGTTTATCCTATTTTTTGTTGTTGTCATCTAATCAATAAAGTTAATCTGATCAGCAACTGTTTTGAATTTCACCACTTTTTGAAATTCAATATTCAATGTTTCAAATTGCCATTGAAAAGTAGCTTTGTTTTTTGACTGATTCGAATTCGATACTTCAAAAGCGATGTGGATGAATTTAGAGAAGATCTAATATCTATACTCCACAACCCAATGTATATCACAGACATCTATTCATTCTATCGCATTCTTTCGATGTTTTTCTACTATTTTTTTTTTCGATACTTTCCATCAATTCGGATAGATATCTTAGTAATGACATCTCACAAATCGTGACAAACATAACTATAGAAATGTCATAGATTGTAACAAATCATTAATATTCCTTCCAACAAACATTGTTGACCTGTAATCAATGACCATCTATTAATAACATCTCATTATAATATATGAACTATTTCTTGATTAAATTTTTAAAAGATTAAATGAAAAAAAGGTTGAAGAAATGTGTTTCAAAATAGAATGAATAAAACAATCTCTCTGTGGTTATCAACACCAGTTACATCGTGTTACATGTTTTAATCCCATAGGAATTGTGCTAAAAGATTCTTTTGATCTATATAATATAGCGTTTATAGTTCGTGTTTAAATGGGTATACATTTTATTCATATTTGTACTCAAATGCCTTTACGATCATCATGCCCTACTTCACTTTTATAAATAGTAACTTTCTTTACTGTTCGCATGATATAATATATAATTATTTACTCTACATTAAGATCTATGGTACTTGAGTTTGTTACATCTGTAATAGAACGATACTCGATAAAACGGAAATTTATTTTTTATTAACAAATTTTTCTATTCTTTTGGAAATATTTTCTTATCTTGGATTTGAATGATATCTTTATATACATGTATTATGATCTATGGAACTTGAAGACATACATTTCTTCAGATCCATCTTCATAGATTTTTTTTTAAGTGCGTAGAAAAGTTCTCTTACGAAAAAATAATAATAATGATAATCTATTGAAAAGACAAAAATCATTTTGATCACGAAAAAATGACACATGAACATAATAAACTGCACCTAAGGTCCACTAAATAAAAATTAAATCTTACTAAAAAATACAAATGTGAGGTATATTATCAGAATATGACATAAATTTGATGTTCTTTTGGTTGACTACTAAACTTCTTCTATTCACAAATGGACATTTTCAAGATCTTTGACAGCTTTTGTCACTTTCATATTAAGCAATTCGTATCATGATGTCGATCTTTCTTTTTTTTTTGTTTATTTTACTCCCCGACTCTAAGTTGAAGTCGGAAGAAAGGATAGAAACAAGGAATATTTACGGTATGTCGTACATAATATCTGTACCATATGATACAAAGACAGAAAGAAAAATAGTACAGTGAATCATCTTATAACGCATTTCAATTTCTGTATTTATTCTTTGATGTAATTGATTGTTAATAAACTTTATTAACTGATCATTTAAGTAATTTATTAATGAAAAATATTTTATTTTGATTTAAAATTAAAGAAATAAAATTTTTTTATTCTCAGATAATCTTTTATCGTTAAAAACAAAAATGAATTCTTTTAATCTTACTGATTTTTTTCTTGATCTCCAGCAATAATCATTTGTTCAATATGTAAAATTAATGTATCTAATAATTGTGATATATCATGTTCATCAACACTTTGACTTTCAATATCATCAGATGTTGTATATGTTAATTGATAAAAATTTTGTGATTCATTATATATTGTTATATGATTATCATGATTTGATGATGAATCATGATTAGGTGATGTATCATTAGATAATATATCAATATCATCTTCAAGATTTTGTTCATTATCATCATCATCATCATCATTATCATCCCAATGTATACTATGAACAGGTGAATATGGTTCAATATCTTGTATTTGTGTTGAATTATCAATTAATTCTTTCATATATAAACGATTTTTTTTATATGTTCGATTTTGTTCATCATTTGTATCTGATAAAATTGTATTTGGGATTTTATATATTAAATAACTTGGACGTATAAAAAAACTTAATAAATAAAGTAAACGAATAAGTAATGATGAATCACTACCAACAAGAACTGTTCGACAAATATATAAAGGACTTCCATAGGCACTGAATAAATCTCTTAAATAAGAAATTCAAAATAGAATTATTCAAGAAGAATAAAATCAAAATTATTAACTAACATCAATTGTCCCCATAATGGACTATATTGTAGAAAACTTTGTAATGAATTAACCTACAAAAAAAAAATATATATATATATTACATACATATGAATACAATTTATCTTTTATTATTACATAATCTGCTTTAGCTTTGAATAAAACTTGTTGTTTAGTTTTGACAAGTGACGGTGAGACTGTTGATAACCAAGATAATTGATAGCTAAGTATTGCTGATAAGACACAATTAAGAAAACTAAAAAAAGAAGTAAAGAAAAATATGATTATTATTTTACAATGCATTATCAATCTGTCAATTAGCAATTACTATAGGTGATGAATTAAATTATTCGACACATACTATCAAGATACAATGTTCGAGCTTTGGAATAATTCTGAACAAATTCCTTCGAACAACTTATTTGTATCTAAATCATTCCATTCAATAGCATACTGAGACCACTATCGATTACAAAATATAATGTGTTTTACTGTTTTTCTTGAAAAACTTTCCATAGGAATATCATAGAGATCTGTGACTTTCATCATACAAAAGAAAAGAATTGGGACTATCGGAATTTGATTGGTCACTTGTTAATCAATCGAATTTTGATAGCTTCGAGTCTTCTCTCTTGAATAGTCAAAACCGTAGATTTCTATGAAAAGTTATTCAAGAAACAGTAGAACACATTATATATGAAAATCGATAATAGGTGATGACATACATTAGCCTTCCCCCATATGACTGTTGTAAGAACTGTCGACAGATAATTATATACATTTAATTATCTGATCAAGACTTTCTTTTTTTTGCTATATTATATATCGATTTGATAAACTTACTCGCCATATTTTGGTGTTGTAAAGAGATCAATAATTGAGCATAATTGTTGAGCTAATGCACGTCGTTTACTCATAGTTAGATGTTCTTGTGTTAGAATATACCATGCAGGTGATACAAGACGAGGACGGGTATATAATGTATAAAGGTCATCTTTAAAACTGAATAATTTCTAAAAAACACACGAAAAAAAATATATATATATATTCAGTGATTTTAGAAATTCGTCATAGAGATTTAAAGAATCCAGATATTAAGTTGAATAGAAAAAATTGTTTCCAACAAGGGTTTAAGGGAAATAAAACCTTCACAGTATTCTTAAAATCTAGGTTCGTTAGGAAATTCAAGAGCTAGTTTTTCAGTATGCAGAATCTGATAATAAAAGTTTCTTACGATTATACAGAGCAACTGTTTCTCTACAAAATCGGACATATCCGAACTTTCCACGACATTTTTTGATTGAATTAAATAAATTTTAAGCGAAACCCAAAAATCGTTTTCATCCAGTTTTTCCTTAAGAAATGGTGAAAAAAATTATTTTTATGCGTTTCCTAATATCAATATAATTCCATCGAAAAATGTTATGTAGAGCTTCGAGACGTCTCATTCTGTAGAGAATCAATTATTCTGTCTAATCAAAATAAATTTTTATTATCGAATTCTGTGTGTTGAAAAACTAACTCTTGAGTTTTCTAGAGATCTTAGATTTTGAGAATATTATGAAGATTTTATTTCCTTTAACTGCTTATTGAAAACAACTTTCTCTATTCAAGTTACTGTTTGGATTCTTTATGCGAGTGACTAGTATAAGGAAAAGAAATGAAATTAAATCTGTACGATCAATTTTTAGACCTATTGTTATTGATAAAAGTATAATTTTCGATCGATACATACATCTAGTAGAGCAGCAGCAATTGCATTTCGTTCATTAATATTAACTTCTGCTGCAGTCATTATTTTATGAAAATGATTTTCTATTAATGGTGCATGTGTACAAAAAAATTCTTCAAAATGTCTATAAAAATAATCACAAAATAATTAATATATAAAAAAAAAAATAATCTTACTTATATTTAGATAATTCATTTTGTTGAAATGTAATAATAAATGCTACACCAATACATCGACGAAAACGACGACCAGGCTAAAAAATAATAATTTTAATTTACAATCGAAAAAGAAAACAAGAAAAATTTTTTTTTTTTTTTGTTTTGTTTTACTTGTTTTTGATTTTTTTTCATTGATCGATTAGCACATTTTAACCATCGACGATAAAGTCGACCAAATCTTTGATTTGTTAAATCTTCACCAAGAAGATCAATACTTGATATAGTCGATGAAGCAACACTAACATTTGAACTAACTATAAATTAAAAAACAAATTTCGATATATCATGTAGAACATATCAAAAGTAGTTGGTACTAGTATTTTAATTCCTTATAAAAAAAAGTTTAAAGAAATTTCTTGTCTACATGGATTGATAGTAAAAACGACGTTATTAATTCATATCTATTCTTTTCTTGAATATTTCTTTTAATGTCTAATCGTCTATATATACATATATGTATATATAGACGCATGTTTTGTTTGCTTCTGTAGTCTATTTGTGTATTCTCAAGAAAGTTAAATTAAACCTTATCACTGTTTAACTCTGTTTTAGATGAATAAGGAAAATGTTTGCTCCAATATTAGAGTCTATACTGCACTTAATATTGAAGAACTATTCATATTGAATTATGTTCTGTGTTTGTGATGACGAAGAGACTTCTTCTCTCTTAGGATAATTGAAAGATGGTCTAAATGGTTTTGTGAAAGTTAATAAGAGGCTAAAGATAAAACACGAGCTACTTGCTTGATCGATTTGATGGTGATGATCCAAATGGACTAAACGGATTAATTGTTACTGTTTCTGGTTCCGATGTTATTGATGTATTGACTACTGTATCGGGTCTAAAGAAAAACAAAAGAACTTAAATAAATATCAATTAAATTTCAATAATAACCTGTCAGGTAATTTAATAACAAATACTCGACTCATCATAATTTGTAACGGTGATCTATAACAATAGATTTATGATTTTAATTCATGAAAAACAAAAACTTACTTGCTTGTATGAATTTTCATTCCAGTACCTTTAAATACTAATGGCATAGTTCCGAATATATAATCAGCATAATTACGTATATCATTTGAAGCTTTCATTAACTAAATTATTAAAAGAAAAGTAGAAAAAAAAAATGTTTAATTCGTTTTGTTTTGTATTGTTATACTTCATAGATTTTTCCTCGATGTGTAAAACGTGTTATAGCAGGACGAGGACGATTTACACTGCTACTACTTGGACCCATTGGTGGTTTCGTTGTTCGATTCTATATTGAAATTTTTATTAGAGTACATGAAAAAAAAAACAACAACTAAATAGAAATCTTTACAGATCCTGGAACTTGTGATAAGGATGTTCGAGTATTGATTGCTATTGATTGTTTATTAGTTAAATTTTCATTATCAGAAGATGAAATAATACGTAAAGTTTTTGAATCAAATATAAGTTCTAATCCAACATCATCACTGTCGGAAAAAACAAGAAGACGAATATGATCTCGATTTAAATCTGGTGGTATCCATTGTCTGTCACAGAAACAAAAAAAGAGAAAAATATCGAATAATTTTATTAAATAATAATAACAATTGCATTTTACATACGGTAAATCGAGAGGAACAAGAGGAAGTAACGAAGATGAAGATGATGATGATGTATTAGTAGTTGGAGTATTTTTTTTCGATGATAGTTGTAAATTTTTTCCGAAAACGCGATTGAGAAATGAAGACATTGATATTGTGAAGATTTATAATGGAAGAGGAGAAAAAAGAAAAACAACTATAAAATCCAACAATTCAATTTCCAAACGAAATGTTATTAACTGTATCATCATGATTTTTTGCTTCTGCTCTTATTTTATTGTACAATGGGTCTCTTCCAATAAACAACAATCTCTATCAACAATTGATGGATAGCGCCATCTACTGATCTAAGTTGAGATAGAAACATTCGAACATATGAATTTATGATATATATATATTTTTTCTTTTATAATGAAAGAAAGAGAAAACGCTTATTTCATAATGATATATTTCTCTATCACAGTTCTTAAAATCGATTAATCTATGATATATAAAAAAAAAGAGGTATCAATGCCTAAATAAGGACACGAATAGAATCAACACAAGCAAAAAAAAAAGAAAGAAAGCAAAGATATTTTTAAGAGAATTCGTATGCTTGTGGCTTATGTGCACCAGCACAGGCATGTAGTGATGCAGTAATTGCTTCTTCGGATAAATCTTCTTCAGAATTGGCATAAATTTGAATATGATAACCATTAAAAAATCTTTCAAATTCATGTTTATGAGTTGATACACGAGCACGACGTATTGGAGTCTAATTAAATAGAAAATTTAATATAAAAATTAATATAAAAATATAATAATACTTACTACGCCTGCTCCAACATATGTAATAAATACGAATTTAGCTCGTTTACTTCCATGATCATCAACAGCTCGAACACGAGCAACACCATAATATACTTGATTTGGATTTAATTGTGTTTTCATTTCTGTTAAACCACCTGTTCCTTTCCCACTAAGTACAATATCACCATTATCAGCATAACTCAATAAAATCCTAGATTGAAAAAAAAAAACGAAGAAAAAATTAAATCAATCAATATCATTAATAAAAATCATTTATACCAATTAGTATCTGATGCATCGTTTCTAACTTCTTGCCAAGCTTCTTGAATTTCTGTATTACTTAAATCAACTGAACGTTTTGGTCCTGCCATAGTAGTTATAACTTGCAAAGAAAAATTAAGATATAAGTGGTTATTTTACTCTTGCACAGCTGAATCACACAACTATAACGAAGAAAAAAAATAGCGTATATAATAATCTGTTGCGCATCGCATTACATCTATGTTAGATAACCTTTTTTTTTTTTTTTTTCGCTCGGCCCACAAACATCGTTTGATAGAGAGAAGAAAAAAAAAAGATGAAAACGACATGGACTATTAACGTACTCCGAAAGATATTGTTGTTGTTGTTGATGATAATGCTGAAGCATATCATATCATATCTTTTTTTTTAAACTGAGAGAAAGAAATTTTGGCATGACAATTTTTTGCATATTTTATTTTGTTCGCAAAAACAAAACGAAGTTTATTAACTAAAAAGAAAAAAAGAAAAATATTTCAATCAATTTCTTCGACTTAAAAGATCACGTGATAGAATATAAATACATTTGTATACCAAGACTTAATACACTATCTAAATCACTTCAAAATGTTTGATAAAAGTGCAAAATAAAACTGACATTGCATTTCAATGTCAATCTATTTTCATTAATTTATAATGAGCTTCTTTTTTTTTTTTACATTTAATTGATGATTAATATTTACTATATGAACAACCATCAAGTCAATGATCACCATTACCTCCATCATACAGACGTACATTTGGTAGTGAATCAGTAAAATGTATTACATATATTAAAGTACCAGTTTCTCGTCAATATATATATATATACATTACAGCATTATGAAGACTATCAAGGACGCCCTAAAATACAATAAAAAGAAAAAAATATTAAATTCAATGTTGATAAAGACAATACTTCATGTAATGGTAACATCTAATATTTTAATGAGTTCTATAATATTTATAGTATTAGAAAGATTTCTTAAATTAGATATTGTAATATCTTTAATAATTTTTGATGCATTGATAATACGTCAAATAGTTTGTTTTGATTGATTAATAGATGAATTCATTGAATCTAGTTGTATTACAATAAAATACAATAACTAAATTTTGAATGTTTCATGTTAATAATTAAATGTATATTCACCTTGTATGCTATGTATCTTTTATACTATTTAAATGAGTTAAATTTTTAATAAATAAATGAACATTTATGTAAAATGTTACTTGGTTCACATTATCATAAATCATATTCATTATGAATAAATGAATACTATCAATCATTTAAATGTTAAGCATAAAGATAAAGACTAGCAGCAAGATATTTTTTAGATGAACCTATGCTCGATCTTTACATTCACATGATTCATCTGGTTTATATTCTTGATATTATTGTCTTTGTTTTGACTATAATTAATTGATTATCATTTCGACGAGAAACAAAATACATTAAATTCATTGTTTTAAATAAATAATAAAAAAAAAACAACAATTATACTTTTTTTATATGTTTGATATTCTTTTTCTTTTTATGAATGATACTTTACTCGATGAGTATTTATACTATGATAAGGATTTGTATGATTATGAGATAATTGACAAACATTACGATATTCAGAACATTCACTTATACATTGATGATGAGCAAATTTACAATCATGTATTTCATTTGTGTATGAGTATTTATATGAAGTGGAATGTCTAATCGAGATACATATATATGTCGTATCGAAGTTAGCATGTTTATCGAAGTTATAACTTCGATAAAAATTTTATCGAAGTTATAACTTCGATGAACAATTTTATCGAAGTTGTAACTTCTATAAACATATTTCATCGAAGTTATAACTTCTATAAATTATTTCATCGAAGTTACAACTTCGATAAAGTGAGGTTATCGAAGTTGTTTGGATGAAATTAAATAGGAAAATTGGTGATTATTTCAATAATATTATTAAACTTGTTAGCAATAAATCATTTTGCTACTAACAACAAACATTTACTTGATAAAAAAATTCAACAATTATAAATCATTAACAAATATTGAGACTAAACATTTTTTTATCTCTTCATTTTTTTTAGCTTTCGTTCAGAGAACAAGAGGTAAGTTGTAGAAAAGGTGATCATAAACATTGATGAACCATAATTAAAAATAGAAGTATAGACTGATCATCACTGTATAGAAAATAGCTGCTTTAAATAAAATATTAATCACGTATAGATCAGGTATATAAGCTAATAATATGATTAATAATCTTTACAATCAGAACTATTTGATAATTGGATTATTATAAATGAATCAATTTTAGTAAAAGCACAAATGCAAACGCACAAAGCATATGCCACATTTGCTCATAATCTCAATGTAAAATTCTACTCAATTCACAACTAATGCTGAAACGGTGTACAAATTGATGGCTTTATCTACATTGTCTCCTGTAGTAACAAGAAAGCGTAAATGTTTTAAGAACAACATCCAGATATCCTCATCAGTAACAACTAAAACATCGGCTTCAACTACATGGTCTCTCATGGAACTTACAGCATTATCGATAATACAAATTGGAAAGATAAGTTTAACATATCTGATCTATACGTGATTAATATTTTATTTAAAGCAGCTATTTTCTATACAGTGATGATCAGTCTATACTTCTATTTTTTAATTATGGTTCATCAGTGTTTATGATCACCTTTTCTACAACTTACCTCTTGTTCTCTGAACGAAAGCTAAAAAAAATGAAGAGATAAAAAAATGTTTAGTCTCAATATTTGTTAATGATTTATGATTGTTGAATTTTTTTATCAAGTAAATGTTTGTTGTTAGTAGCAAAATGATTTATTGCTAACAAGTTTAATAATATTATTGAAATAATCACCAATTTTCCTATTTAATTTCATCCAAACAACTTCGATAACCTCACTTTATCGAAGTTGTAACTTCGATGAAATAATTTATAGAAGTTATAACTTCGATGAAATATGTTTATAGAAGTTACAACTTCGATAAAATTGTTCATCGAAGTTATAACTTCGATAAAATTTTTATCGAAGTTATAACTTCGATAAACATGCTAACTTCGATACGACATATATATCATGTAGAAAAAAAAACAGAATGTACTTAAAGCATATTTTAATTTCAATAGTACAGCTTAGTGAATACACTGAGTTCAGGATTCCCTGCTGAAATACGACTCGATACATGAGTATCTTGATTTCAGTATATTCACTAGAGCAGGTTCATAAGGTTTATAGAAATATATATTTAATTCATTTTGTCATTTTCTTTCCAATTATTTTATAAGCAATTGATACAAACATCTTGTTACTCACATTGATATTAACAAGTATGAGTTGAACTACACACATAAAATTTTTCTTTACAATCATGTTTATCATTATTTCCATGTTGAATATCAAGTGTACAGAATATTTTAGAGTCATACGTAATTGTACATGATTTTTTTATCTTGTTCAAAAAGATCACAACACAAAATTATTATTTATACGCATAATTGACATTTTATTTTGCATGCATGATGTGTATTATGAATACAATCATTTCGATGATTAAGACATTTTGAACATATATGGTTTATAATAACGAGTTGTATGAATATATGATTGAGAAGATAATTTTAAATTATCTAATTTAACTGTAGGTGTTAATTGAAAATCAATGATTTTTATTGATATCGATCATTCATTCATTCGCTGTTTGTTTATGAATACATAACTGAAATTATCAAGAAATTCTGTTTCATTTCTTCAAGGATTAGATAAATTTAAAATAATTTAATGTATGTGATCAATTTCTATATTGAAAAAGTTGATTTTCAAAAATGTTGTAAATGTTAATCATGAATTTTTTTTGATTGAATAGTTTTTGTAAATAATCGATTTTACTATTTGTACCTCGTCGATCAATATTACTTGTTAATTCTATATGTATATATGTACTTTCAGATCATAGAATCAGTCCACTTTCGTCGAGTGTGGGTGTTAGTAAAGAAAAAAGAATCTATAGACACACCTACATCCCACCTTGATAAAGGAGGGAAGTGCATAACAGGTCAAATTGGCCCATTAGTACTTTTGTTGGCCAACCTCATTGAATCATATATCAATGGAAAGAGTATATTTTGAATAACATTATGGTACTAGTTTCATCTGGCTTTGATCGAATTTCGAATGTTGAAGTAGACCACAAAAAATATTATTGTTACAATCCAAAATATAAATTACCAATTGATTGTTTAATTTAATGAGAGATAAGTTCGATGCCCTGGTAGACACTATTAGCATATTTACTGTATTTGTTATTCAACCTTATCTTTCAATAGATATTTTAATTTAATAATTGAAATGACCAAAAATCTGGTATTTCTCATTTGATAGTCCTTTTAAAAAGCTGGAAAACTGGGGTATGTTCAGATTTTCTAAAAAAGGAAATTATCAAAATTTCCATAAGCTCGTTAATCACATAGTAGTGTAAACCGAAAGCTATAGAAATATCGGAAATTATATCATTTTGAAAAGCACTGAAGAATTTCGAACATTAATGCTTGAAATTTCCGAAATTTTCCTTCTTGAAAGTCTAAACACGGCTGCTTAAAGAAGATTTTCTTTTAGTAAAAATGACTGTAGTAATAAATACTGTTGTTTCAAGTGAAATTTTCATTGCATCTTTCGAACATAAGTGATTGTTAAAATTGTTTTTTATTTTGACATCCTTCTGACATCTGTTTATTCAATGTGTTCTCTGGAAAAGAAACCTGACCATCAATAATTCATTATAGTTTTGTTTTGTATGCAATACACAACATTCAGTCAACAGATCTATAAATTAAAAATTTTAATAATACAATTTTTTTGTAGTTCTTCATAGAATTATGTGCATAGATATATATATATATAAAGAGAGAAAGAGAATCGTATGTAAAACAGAAAAAAAACAATAGAATGGATTCAATCAAAATTGAATGGCAAAAAAAATCAGCTAATGAAGTTCATATTTTACCAAATAGACAATATTTTAAAAAACAATCGATTCACAACTTAGATAGTCAAGAGATAAAACCTAAGAAAAAAAAAGTTCGTTTCAATTTTCGTACACCTAGTGGTAAAGAACAAGCATTTGAAAATACAGAAAATAGTCACTCAAGAATAGATCGAACACAAAAATCAAGTTTCGTAGATTATGATTATACTTCATCATCAACACGTATCTTCACTTCTGAGTAAGACAATATATATATATATATATATATATCAATTTAATTTGAACATAAAATGTTTTTTTGTAGATTTCTAGAAACCGATGGTAAAAAAAATTGTAGTACACGATCAAAGATAATTACAATTATTATTTTAATATTCATTATTTTAACTATAGCTATTGTTGTTGGTGTAGTAGTTGGTGTTACCAAGTCTCAACAAAATACATCGGAAGCAACAACAATAAAGAATGGAACTACATGTAAATACGTTTTTTTTATTCTTTGATTCAAATATTTGAATGAAAATATTTCCTTAGTTTCAGTATCAACAACAACAACAACAGCCTTAGTCAGTAGTATAAGTATAGGAAATCAAAGTGGACCACCTTGTTCATCATATACAACAATTAATGATCCATCACGAAATGTCGCTCAAGTATCACTATATGGTCCGTGTGATACAGGATCACCATTCAATACGAGTAATGGTGGTTCTTGGATACGATTTATTGGTACTGGTGGTACTACACTTTCATTAGTAGAACCTACTACGAGCCAGTGTGGCGGTTATTCAGGAGGCTGGATCAATGGTACATTACCAACAACAGTGGGGACTGTAGCTAACGCAACGGTATGCTTCCGAATAAATAAAGTTTCTTGCTTAGTGATCGTCTATGTGTCAGTAATTAACTGTGGTGGCTTCTTCGTTTACTTTTTACCACCGGTTCGTATTTGCAATGGACGCTATTGCACAGCATGACTATATTTATTTTTGTAGAACTGAATATGTGATCTCTGCACTAATTTAAATAAAAGCAATGGATAATACATATAACGTTCGATATCTATTGTGGTAAAAAATACCAAACTTTATGTTAATAGAGATGAGTCAGTTTCAGCATTGAAATCAAATGCATTTTTTCTCAGTTTTAGAACAAATTTAACACTTGCATTGTGTATTCGTAATTATCAGTTACATTCTTTTGTTTTTATTGTTTTATAAACACAGAGTTTAAATTTGTTTCGTAAGATCAAGAAAAGGAAATTGATATGTTGAACAAATCCGATAGGCAGTTGAAAGAAGTTCTTGATCTTTCAAAAATGGACCAATCAATTGAAGACCAATAGGAAATCCTTTACTTGATAATCGAACTGGAAAACTAAGCGCTGGTAGACCTGTAAAATAACAAAAAAAAACAAAAACTTTATTGAACAATTCGAAAATATGTACCAGCTAGATTAGCACCAACAGTAAATATATCATCTTCACTAAATATATCATCCGCTTGTTCATATTCAGCAAGTGTTATTGGATCATTTGAAACCACTGGCGCTAATAAACAATCAATTTTATCTTCTTCAAATACTTTCTTATAATCATTCATGACACCACGTCTTACTCGTTGACTTTGAACAAAATATTTATCATAATTCCTAATAATATATAGATAATATAATATTTAAGTAGAAAATCAAAAAGTAAAATTTACTCTTCAAGTAAATAATAGTTTCCAGCTAAAATACGACCACGAACTCGTTCACCTAAACTTTCATCACGTGTTTTTTTTAAAATATCTTCATATGTATCTTTATTTTTATCAATATTCTTTGTATGATAACCTAAAATATACAATAATAGTTTATTGAATTAGAAAACTAAAATCATTTAATCTAATACCATATTTAATACCATCATATCGAGCCATATTTGAAGCAATTTCACAAGAACTTAAAATTGTATAAGCTGCATTCGAATAAGGTGTATATGGTAATTGTACTCGTTTAAATGTATATTCACCAGTTTCAGTTAATCGATGAACTAAATCTTGCCAACATAAACGATATTCACTTGATAAAGTATTGACATCATAGTCCTATTTGATAATTGGATTGAATAGATAATCAATAAAAAAAAAAAAAAAAAAAACATAATTCTTACATCAGGTAAACCAATAATAATCTTTTTCTTTTCTTTTGATAGTTCATTTGATGTTTTAAAATTTTCAAATGGTTTTGATAAAAGAGTTGCATCTTCATCATCAGGACCGGCGACAGCATCTAATTTTATAAGAATATTTTACAAAAAAAACAAAACAAAAACTAATAAACATACTTGTCGCAAAAATTAAATCATCAATATTTCGAGCAAAAAAACCCGGTGAATCAAATGAATTAACTAATGCAACCATACCAAGTCGTGAAAGTAAACCATATGATGGTTTAAATCCATAACAACCACATCGTGCAGCTGGATTTCGTATTGAACCACCTGTATCTGACCCAAGAGCTCTAGAATTATATTATTAACAAGTTACTAAATTCAATCAATTTGTTTTCATTTTTACATTGATACAAAATTTGCTGCTACAGCAGCTGCACTGCCACCTGAACTTCCACCGGCTACATGCAATACTGTTTTATTATTTTCTACATTTGTCATCGTTGTCTTTGTTAAACTCCAAGGATTTGCTACAGGTCCAAATGCACCCCAACTTGCTACACTGAAGAATATCTAGAGTTAATGACAGATATTCTCTATTTTTTTTTTCAAAAACCTAAAACATACCCCATAGCAAATTCATCCATATTTGTTTTTCCTACAATAATACAACCATGATCAATTAATCGTTGTACAATAGTACTTGTATAAGGTGCACGAAAATTAGCAAGCATTTTCGAAGCACATGTTGTTAATGTATCACGTAAACAAAAATTATCTTTTATTAAAATTGGACGACCATATAATGGTGAATTATCTATAAATAAAAATCAATGTATAATTGATTAAATGAAAATATCTTTACTTTTCTTTTCAATTGAAATTTGTTGTTCAGTTTCAAGAGCTTTATCGAAACAATCATTTGTTAGAGTATTAAGAACTTTGTAATGTTGAAGAGCATTGATAGCCGAACGAACGGCTGAAGATGTTGTTTTATTTGATAACATTTGAATAGATGGAAAAATAAAAAATCAATTGAATCTTTCTGATGAGAAAAATATTCATAAAATAATTGGTTTATATGTTAACCATCAAGTTTTCTCTAGTAAAAATCCAAAACGATATTTAGGTGTCGCTATTTGACATGATTGTATTCGTTCTTTTCTCTTTTTTTTAATGACTCCGTGTTAATAATCGAAGTATATCATTTATTTGTTTTTCTTTTTCGTACTTTACATTATCTTTTCAAACTATGATAAATATTTATACAGTTGATTCATTTACACGTGAATTATTTAAAGGTAATCCAGCTGGTGTTTGTACTTCATTTCAAGATGTATCTTCATCAACAAATTTTGATATATTATTTCAAAAAATTGCTACAGAAATGAATATATCTGAAACAGCTTTTATAACAAAAGCAAATAATCTACCATCAAATTCACGTTATTTTCTTCAATGGTTTACACCAACTAATGAAGTTGATTTATGCGGTCATGCAACATTAGCTACAGCTCATATTCTTTTTGAAAAATATCTTCAAAATTCTTCAATTGATGAATTAATATTTGAAACAAAAAAAGTTGGAGAATTAAAAGTTAAAAAATGTGCTAATCAAAATTGTTTACAACTTGATTTTCCTATGGGTAATCCACAATCAATTGAACTTGATAATGAAATATTAAATGAAATAAAATCTAAATTAAATATAACACAAGATATTCATGCTATTGAATTATGTAAACGAACAAAAAAACTTTTAATTCATCTTTCTTCAATTGATGATAATATAAAACCACAACAAAATCTAATTGATATTAATTTTCCTTCATCAATACATTCTTTTATACGTGGAATTATACTTACAAGTAAATCAATAAAATATGATTTTGTTTCTCGTTATTTTGCACCATGGAATGGTATACTTGAAGATCCAGTTACTGGTAGTGCACATACAGTTCTTGCTGTTTATTGGTCTCGATTATTAAATAAATCAATTCTTAATGGTTATCAAAAAAGTGCTCGTGGTGGTCATATTGAATGTGAATTAGATGAAAAAAATCAACGAGTATTTTTACGTGGTTATGCTATTACGGTAATGCAAGGTCAACTTCAAATTTCACAAGATAGTTTATTAGAGAAAGACTCTTCAGGATAAATTATAATTTATTATATAATTATGAGAAAATCGAGTTTATGCGAATATTTAAAAAAAAAAAAATCAAAAATTACAAATTTTTATTAAATGAAATAAATCAAAATTTACGTAGTGTGTATATCAGAAAGCTGCAGCTTCACATTTTTTCTGGACTCGGATCTGACTGACCCGAGTTTTTTGCCCCGAATATCTGACATCTTTTCTGTACATGAACAAGTAAAGAATTAAGATTTTAAAAATTTTCTCTTAATTTAAAAAAATCATGTTGATAAAAAAGGAGATTGAACAGTTAATCGATAAATAAAATTCATCAAATCAACAGTAACATCAAAATCTTCAGCTGTATGGAATAATCATAGTTGTATTTATGCGAACGAGATCAAGCAAGAATATATTCTATGCAAACAATGCAAAGATTTACTTATTTATAAATCTTCTTCTGGTACTAAATCACTATAGTAAGCATATTGGTAGTTTCCAACATTACAAAAGTAAGTTTTCAATGTCCAAACAAGAAATTCAAGTTACTTATGTTAAATTTGCAGCACGTGATTATCGATTATTCCAAATAATTAATGATATCAGTTTTAAAAATCTTGTACAAACAGTTTTTAGTGCTAGTTAATATTTACATATAGGGAGCTATGGGTCTATATTAGTTTGAACCAAACTTACAGCTTCCTAATTAATAACATGAATAGTATACTAAAAATAAATCTTTAAACAAATGATTGTTAAACATACAAATAGATCAATGATAATAATGGTTAGACTATAATGAATCCGACTTATTGTAAATATAATTTGTCAATCATTTGCTACTCATTTATATATCAATTAGGGTTCCGCATTGGATGAGATGAGACAATCTTCAAAATTTTCTATCTCATATGGGATAGAATTATCCTCAAATATTTCATCCCACCATGGGATGAGACGAGAGGCAAAATTTTCGATCGCGTCCCATGAGACTTCACGCTCGTCATATATTTAAAAACATTTTCTCGACACATTATTTTCATTAATAATGGATGAATCGAAAGTTTGTAGACACAATATTCCTTCATTTTTCAACCGATTAAGAGAACAAGCAGAAATTTTAAAATCTTGAGTTAGCATCAGAATTATGTGCTCTTGCCGAATCTATGTTCAGAATTATTGTGTGATTCATAGATTAGTAGTTATGAGTTAGTATTTGAGAAGTCTGAAAATAAAGTTTGAACGGGTTTTAGTACGCAAAAGTCGTCTAAAGTAGAATTAAAATTTATTTCAAAAACATTAAATGAAAGAGTAAACATCTCTCTACAGAATAATATCCTGATCATTAGTTTTACGTAAGGCGTCTATCATCAACGAGAGAGCTTTGGCAAGAATCACAGTGACACTTTTGCAATTCCTTGATTTCCAGAGTTACAAAATGAACTCAATAATTTCTGGAGAATTGTTGCAAGATCCTCAATTCTTAGCGTACTTTGTAGGGTACAGTGTTGCTCTTCATGCTGTGCAAAAAAATTGCTAATACAATATGCTATAGAGAGCATCATTGCTGAGAAAGGCATCTATTGTTTGAGTGCTGATCTAAAAAGCCTTCAAAAGTTGATGCAGTTAAACAAAAGGAAGTGGGACTAAGTGAAATGGCTGTTTTTATGACAAAAATACTAAAGTGCCAAAAAACAAAAATCGTTGAAAATCATTATAAAACTCATTTCAAACAAGATGTAGTCATATTTTTTGTCTTTAGATCTGTCAGTGCAACTTTCTCTCTCCAAACTTTATTTACAGATCTTGCAAAGATTAGCTCACTCACACTTATTGAAATATTTAAAAAGTGAAACTATTTCAATGTAATATTATTTGAGTTATTATTATTATTATTATTCATCAAGAAAAACATCAATAAAATCAATTTCAGCAAAATTTAATCCTTTCTTGAAAATTAAAGTATTAGGACCTTGATTAAGATTGACACGAATCATACTTGCACCCCACATATTCCATCCACTATTAACAATTGGTATTTCAATTTGACTAACATCATTAATTGTTAACCAATGAGTAGCATGACCATTTCCTGCAGATCCATTTGCATTTCGAATTACAATTACATATGTTCCAGCTTTTGGACATTGTATAGTAAATTGAACAATACTATCTGGATAATCAATATATCCCATTTTGAAACCATTCGATGCACTTGAATGAGGATGTGCATAAGGTCCATTAAAATGACGTGCATATTCTGCTTCATATCGATCTCGATTTTGATCACCTGATGGTATATGTATTGGTATATTAGGATTTACTGGTGAACCTAAATTTGGTGTTGAATCCATATTCCATGTAAATTGTTGTGCACGAATTTGTCTCGTCCAACCTGAACCACTATATCGTGCTGAATGATAAATAATCCAATCTTCTCGATCATCTCGAGATTTTGTAAAACTTTGATGTCCAGGTCCATAAATAGAATTACCAGAACGAAATATTGGATGTGGATGTTTGTTCCATGAAGATGCTATCAATAAATCACTATTTATAAATGCTGTTATCAAACCAAGACAATAATCATTTGTCCATGATCCAGATGCTGAATAAACAAGTGATATAATACCATTTCTTATAGTTACTTGTGGACCTTCATTAATATAAGGAAAATGATTTGTTTCCCAATTATATATTGGTCTTGCAATTTCAACTCTTGAACTACTAATTGTCCATGGATTAGACATTTGAGCTATGTATAAAATTTGTCTTTCATTGACATCTCCTTGCCAACCAGACCAAATGAAATAGAGTTGACCTGATGGATGTTGAAGTACAGTTCCATCAATAGCCCATTTATTAGTTACATCTGTAATTTGTCCTTTCCAAGTAAATGTACCAGTAAATGGATCTGCATTAGTATTTTCAATGACAAACATACGATGATTTTCATTTTTATCATCACATGTTGTTGCAGCAAAGTAGATATACCTTTTAGAAAAAAAACGATACAAGAAAGTTAAAAGAATAAAACTTTCTCTTACCAACTTGATTGAATAAAATGTATTTCCGGAGCCCAAACAGCCCGACATGCTGGACCCGAATTCGGTGATCTCCACACAATTCGACTTTCACCAGCATCTATTGATGTAAAACTACGTGATCGCCAAATTCGAACATCACCACCTGTAGTTCTTGTGAAATAATACAATCCATCTGTATGTTTATATACCCATGGATCAGCACCATCTTGAGCAATAACATTATAAAATGTGTTTACATTGGAGGGTGTCTGAGATTTAGGCTCAATAACTTGAACTGTAAATAAATTGAATTTCAAATTTTCATTAAATTCAGTCAACTCTGTAAAATTTTATTAATGTTTTTTTTTCTTTATGAAGAATTTATCAGATGGATATTGTGAATATAATCTGTATTTATTTGTAATATTATTTGAATGTAATGGTAATCGACTTGATCTAATACATTTACTTTACTCAGTCATTGATTCTTCTAAGAATTTTTTCTTAATACTTTTCATACGATAATTCTAGTGATAACATGTATATTTCTTCTATCTCTTCTTTCAACTCTTTCTTTTTCACGTGCATGAAAAATAACAATATCACTGCAACTTTTGTCTTTTGTATTATTGGTACGTACCATTACTATCGTCTCTGTAAAATTGTTGTATCTCATCAGTATACAATGCATGACCACGTAGAAGAACAATGCAAAAAATCCAAATAAGCATATTAAATTTTTTCATGTCTATCGTTTGAAAAAAGATTTCAAGTTATCTTTGCACTTATCCACACGTGGTCTGCCCTTAATTTTGTGCTTTCATTGTGTTTTTTCAAAAAAAAAAAAGAAGAAGATATCGAATCTAATCTTAACTGCGACTTAGAATCATAATAGTGCATATCAAAATACTGGAGAAAAATAAAAACAAAGATTAAGTTTTTGTTTTTTTTGTAATATGTTATTTATGAATAAATTGCAAAATCACTTCAATTTGAGTTACTGATTTTTCACAAGAAATTGATATAGTTCGAAGTAGCTACAATTAATAATATATCACTAGTGACTTCTACATTAAGAAAATTGCTTTCAAATGTTATCGAAATTATCAATGCATGTTTATATGAAATTTTTTAGAGAGTAAATAATTCTGTTATTGTTTTTTTCATATAAACTTGTATCTTTGATTCATTTTGAAAAATTCTTATTATCTTCAATTTCTTTCTTTGATAAATGGGTTATGGTCACAATGGAATAACATAAAGCAGGTAGTGATCGATGAATATGACATGAGATATTTTGAGATTAATTTTAATCTATTGATTTATATATATATATATATATTGAATCGTACTTGTTTTTGCTTCAAACTGTTCGTGCAGACTATAACTCACAGCATCGAAGTTTTTTGTCATTTTCATGAAACATTTGATTCAAGAATTCATTCGATGATGAATTATCTCACTTAATTTCTTGTTCTGATTTTAATTATCTAGATGAGTTTGTGCTTGAAAGATACTTAAAGAAGGCGATTATTAATGAATTTGAATTCTGATCTTACGATATTGGATACTAACGATGTGAAAGAACAATTTTTCAACATTTAACGACAACGATTTTTTTCTTGCGAGTATTCTTTAAAACATTTTGTAAAGCATTCGATGAGCTACAAGAATGGCTTGGTTTGACTGTTCCGTCACTACTTCTGATCGTCGAAACTTAACATTTCTGTGAAATTTTCATTTTTGAAAAGCTTCAAAACTACTGTTTCAGATTACCTTGTCACTAAAATTAAATATTATCGGGTGGACCGTAATGAATAACCGCGTTTTGCATTTTCGTTTTTTCATCATTTAATATGCGTCGTTAAAAAAGAAATAAAATATACCAAAAGATGCAGCGTGAAAAGTTCTACAATTTACATAAGTCTGATTATTTTATAGTAGCGCTTTTTGTTTTCAAAATGGACCAAATTTCGATCGTACGAAAATTAGTCGCACAGAATTTTTCTGTTTTTGAAAACAAAAAGTATAGAATTAAAATGAGCTTTACTTTGTAGATTGTAGAGTTTTTCACGTTGCATCTTTTGGTGTATTTCGTTTTCTTTATAAAACATGTTAAATGATCAAAAAATACGATGCAAAACGCGGCCATTCATTATGGCTAATCCAATATATTTGAATAATTTTCCTGATAATGAAAATATTATTTTCCATACAAGATTTACATTCTACTCCGAATGAAATATCAATAGGTAATCAACAAATCTTAACGTCTAAGAAATTCTTCATAACTTTAGCTTTTTCACTAGTACAGAATGATGTAGCTTTCAAAAAAGTATTTTGTCATCGTATAATCTTCGAACTAGAATATGCATTTGTTGTCTTAAAAATTCGGTGCTATGACTTTTCGTTGCAAGACAAAATGTTGCAAGATTGTATTGTACAACATATTTGCGTATCACAAGTTAATTTTGTAGGAAATAACGACGGATTCGGTCCTTGTAATTTCGGTGCGGGTAATTTATAAGAGTCTTTAGTATGAAAATATTTCGGTTTCTCTCAACGAAATCTATCAATTTTAGAATTCAAGTGTTTCCTTTAAACTACAATATTTCCTCACTAATTTTCTTCATTATTCCTCATTACATTCTACGAAAAAGACCAATTGGAGATCCACAAATATATTGAAGAATAAAGTCTTGCAACATTTTGTCCGTGATGAAAAGTTCGGTCACCGAACATCAACATGTGTAGCTGGTATGAAATAATATACCATCTATCTGTATGTTTATGTACTTATGGATCGGCAACATCTTGAGCAATAAATATTATAAAAATAGCTTTTTGAAAATTCGGTTGAATGAATACCAATTTAAAGAAATTCTGCTTGATAAATTGTTAATAATGATTCATTTCGCATCGCAGATATGCGATCATTTTTATAAGACAACAAAAATCTTACGATTTTATTTGATCATGCACCAACTGACTGTAGATTTCTTTTCCTATTTTGTTATTTGAATGTAAATTCGAAAAATGAGATTCGATTTATTTTTTGTTAGTAAGTGCTTCAAGATAGGATTGATGAAAAAACCTGTACAGCTCTATAGAATAACTCTCAACAATATTGAAGTATAAATTCTGAGAAAAAGATATTTTATAAATACCTCACAATTGACCTAGTTATGCAAATGTTATGCAAATATTTTCAATATGTCTGTCATCTTGTTTACTTAGATGTATGTAAATTATTCGGTTCTTCTATGAAATAGATCTTTTATTTTTATGTATACGTTGAGATTTTCATTGAAATTATGGATATCAAGTAACGTTGATATCACAAGTAATTTTATCAATTAATATTACTCACCATCAATTAAGTTTTTAAGAAACAATGTTTTTCTTCTTTTCTCCATCAAGCATATGACGACTAGAGATGTAAGCCAATGCACTGATCGACGGCGGTGACTAGATTTGTCCTAACGTTTTTCCTCTGTCGACGACAACGACTGAAGTTTTTCGATGATTTTTTTGTAAAAATTTTCTTCCTTTTTGGGAGATTTTGAAATGAAAAAGAGAGGAAAAGATAATAGAGAATTTATTGACAAGAAACTAGCTAGTAACATCTCCAAAAATTGATTTGGGATGTCGGAAATTTAAAAAAATCAAATATCTATTTTTATGTTACGGCAGAGGCTCAGCCGATCGGCTTACACATCTAGTGACGATCAATGATAATAATATAGAAAAATTTAGATAAAAATTATAATTTCTTGTATATTTCTATGATTTAAAAAAATATTTAAAGTTATCATTGCATCTATCAATATTTGAATTTTAAATGATTCATTTCCCTATGATAAGGTTCTTTTATTATCTTGTCTTTCAGAAAAACAAAAGATGGGAAACAGAATTCGATCTTAATCGAGAAAAATCATCACAAAATCAATGAATATCAAGAAAGAAATGAAAAGTTTAAAAAAGAAAGCAAACAAAATGATCAAAACTTATTTTGTACCATATTGTTCTTGAATATATCGCCAATATTTTTTTCTAATTGAATCAATTTGTAATGCTAATTTTTCACATAGATCAGTAATCATTCTTTTATTCTCTTCACGTTTTTCATCTCGATCATCATCAATTAATAATTCAATCATATAACCAAGTAAAAATCTCCATTGTCGATTATTAAAATCATCTTTTTGAAAATGATTTTCATATAAATTTTGACAAAAATTCCATATACGTTGATCATTTAAATTTGTTGAACGAAATCGTACAATACCACGTAAATAATTCCATGAACTTTCATTATCTGGACATGATTGAATATGTTTTTCAACATAATCTAATTCACGTTCAATTATATCATCTTTAAAACCTGTTGTATGAGCTATAACAAAATAACGTTGATTCCATGCTGAATTATTTCGTATATCTTCTTGTAATAATTGATCAATATAATTTAATTCATTCGACCAAAGTGAATAAGTTTTAAGTAACCATTGACGATATTGCCATGCATGATAATTTTTTGAATCATTTTGAAGAATACTTGCAATAAATGATAATTCATTAGAAGTATGACCTGAACGTTCAACAATTAAACGACGATGTTCCCAAACCTTAACAAAAAACAAATTTGTTAGGTACAATACCTACGGGATCAAAAATATGAAACACGATTTAACTGCTGTTGCTAATCAGACGAAGATTGTTTTATTCTATCTATTTTAGGATACATTTCTTCACTAATATTTTACTCAATCCTCTAGAAATGCAATAGGGAAGTAGTTCATATATTATAATAAGATGCCATTGACATCAGGTCTCTGATCGTAAATCAACAACATCTGTCATGATCTATGACTAGACATGAGTAAATGATACTGGGATCGAGACCAACACTTTTTCATTCGAAATGATATTTTTTATAATCGTGTAAGATGTGCTTCAAATGTTATATTCTGACGACTCATGTGTTCTAAAAGTTTATGTGAAAATCATTAAATAACGATCACTTCAATATTTTCTGTTACAATTTTGATAGTAAAATTAATTCTTTTTTTTTTTAAAGAGGAAGAAAGACATTAGAAGTCATGCAAGATGTCTCGAACGCATTGACACTGCTAGAAAATGATATCGCATTTTCCACTATTACATGTATTACTAAGCACAAAATCAGAACCAAACATTTTTTTTTTCACCAAGATCAAAAACGATGGGTCCCGTTCATCACCATCTGTGATGTTTTCATGGTAATGTTTGTCATGGTCTGGAGGATGCAAATTCCTACCTTATGTACTTCAACACACACTAAAAAAACAAGAATTTCTGAAAGTGCGTTTAAATGTCTTAATTGCAGTTCTCCTTTGGGCATTCTCACGTCCATTTAGACCACCTTAAAATCAGTTACTTTCATTATAAAAAGTGCGTGAAGATACTTAAGAAAGTAACTTTTACTTAGGAAAAATGCCCAAAAATTTTCTTCCAGAATATTTTAACCTGTTTTGTGAATAACAAAAATGACTTCTTTTATGTGCAGTCTATGTCAAAAATATTTTAAGAAAATATTTTGGGCGTTTTCTTGATACAAAAGTTACCTTTTAAAGCATCTTCAGACACCTTCTAACTTTCCTCCAGAATAAAAAGCCATGGCATTCTATTGTGAAAATTTGCATCGTTCCTCCAAACAGAACCTTCTCATTTCAGGCTAGATTTTTGATAACACTTACCCTAGAAAATCAAAGATTTTTGAAAAACTGTTCTGGTCTTCAAACAAGTGCTTTCAGCAAATAAGCGTTAGAAAACCAATATTTTTGCTAATAAAAGCACTTTTTTACTAGCAAAAATATGAAGTTTTATGTAGAGGAAAAACTCATGACCTTCATTTATGTATTATGAAATTTTTCTTATGCATGACCTTGTAAGTATGATAGCCTTTTATTTTGAAGGATTATGATTCAAGTAGTTGATTTTAATGTTGTCTGAATGGATGTGAAAAATGCTCAAATGAGAACTATGATTAGACTATTTAAACACATTTTCAGAAATTTCTTGTCTACTTAGATCCTTTTAGATCGTGTTTCATAAAATCAAATAAATATTTATAAAAAAGAAAAAATCTAAAATATACTTGATAATTTTTGGGATTTTCTTTAATCATTTGTCCAATAAATGCTAATTCTTCATTTAAATCAGATTTAAGATGATATAAAATTTTACGTCTATAATACCAAACTGTATAATTAGCCGGATTAAGTTGACATGCCGTTTTTGTTAAATCAAGTGTTCGTTCACTCATTTCATTTGTTTTCATACATGCACGTATATAATCAAATGTTTCACGAAAACGATCTGAATAAGCTATTCGAACAACAGGATTGAGTCCATCATCTTGTTCAATTGGTACAACATCAGACCATTCAGGTCGATGAGAAAATTCAAGTTGATTACTTAATGAATCGGATTCATTATCAGAATCTGAATTAGACATTTTTCTATTAGAACTTTGTTCCTTTTTTTTTTTTTGTTTTTATTAAAAATCTAAAATGAAGATAATATTTATTATTTTTATTTTCTATAGTTAAATTGGAATCATAATAAGCAATAAAGATCACTGTTTATGAGAAGTAGCAGAGTAACAAGTGCTGCAATGGACTAAAAAGTATATATATATACAATTCAGTATGAGAAAAAAAATTAATTGAAGAAAGAAAAAAAAAAGCCAGATCGAATATACGCAGTACTATATGTTGGAAAGATCAAATTTGTTAGTTGAAAAACCATAAATGCAAAATAGATTTGGTTTTATATTTATACACGAGTCACTAATGTTTGTGGATACCATGAATTAGCATGACCAACCTAAAATAATTAAGTTATCATAATTCTATTTGATTATATATATATATATATTTAAAAATTTATACATGTTGAAATGTATCTAATAATATCTGTCGTCTTGATTGTATACATATATTTTCTATATTTTGTTTAAGACAATTTATGTCTGATGATAATTGTCGTTCTAATAATGTCGGTATATAATTTTGATCATAACGACAATAACATTTTGACCATAAAACTAAATTAAATGTACGCCAATCAACATGAAGATCATCTGGAAATATTTGAGGTGATTCAATATTATCATATTCATATTGTTCAGGATTTAATGTTCCTGGTGCATTTGTTATTGGAATATCAAGTATAGATATTCTTGATTTTGGTGTTTCTAAATAATAAACAGTTCGATTTGGATATTGAGGAGATGATGATGATGATGTTGGATAAATAACTGTTGCTTCAATTCGAGATTTTAGTTTTTCATTAGAAGATGATGATGTTTGTAAATTAAATATTGATGCATCATTTTTTAATAAACGACATATTTCTGGATCAAGATATTTTGAAAAATCAAATGATGATAAAACAAACATATTTTTTGGGTAATTATGTATTATTTGAAGACGTTCAAGAACGTCATTAAAAACAAATGTATGATGATAACAATAACAAACATTACGATAAAATTCAAGTAAAAGATAATCAGTAAATTCAAATGAAAATGGATTTTGAACAATTAATTGATGAACACAATCAAGAAAAAGAAGAAAAACTGGTGACTAAAAAAAAAAAAAAAAGTTTATTATTATTTTTTTCAAATATAGAATATAGTTTAGTTAAAAATAACAAAACTTTACTTCTTGTACAGGATTTCCATTTCCATCAAAAAGTATTTGTCCACAACGTTCAAGAAATTTATGACCACGAATAAGCCATTCACGAACAATTAATTCACAAAAACCTTTTATTGTACGACATTTTGGTCGAAGTAAAATTTGTACTAATGATGACATTAAACAACTATTATCTGTATCACTTCCTAGATTTTTAAATAGAAAATTATATTGTATTTATATCAATCACTGTTATGTTCTTAACAAATTAAATTGTATAAACAAAAAAAAAAACTATCGATTTATATATTAATTAAAAGTTGTTTGCACAATCTCTGCAGAACTGCATATATTCTAAATCAAGTAATTCTGCAACAGAGCAAAGTTAGGTATCTTAAATTCAATTTTCTTTCGTAATAATCTCATCGAAAGCTTTAGTTTCTTGACTAACGAGGGAATATATTTAAGCACCCCCCTCTGCTCAGAAATGAGCTGAGACCTAGCCGATATTATAGAGAATTTTTCGCTCATCACAAATATTCACATCGTAGCTACCACCGAGTGAATCTTTAAAAAATTCGAGAGACATATAATGTAATTCTCCTGTGAGGCAGCTATTTTCATGAAAAATCAACTATCTCAGAATTAACTAGAAAATATCACATTGTGTAGAGAATTCTTTTCCTGAATATTTTTGTAAAAATAATTTTTCGATCAACGAGAAAATCTTTTCAGATGTTCTCTTCCGATCTCAATCTTTTTTTTTCTATATAGTGTGCTAGTAAAAGCTCTAAAATTATTTGAATTCTCGTTGAGATTTGACTAAGCTATCAAGTTTTTAATATCTATTTACCTGGAAGCCATAGACTTTCGTCGAAAACTCGAATTTTGATCGGAGACTTTATGCATATAGAGAGTTTAACTAGACTAGCTTTCATAAAAAAATTCAAAATTTCTGAATAAAGTCTCTTCAAGATATGAGATTTTCAAGATATAGACTCTTTTCCATGGATAGAATATTCAACATACATTTTCTGAACGCTTCATATTTTGAAGAGACTCTATTCAAAACTTCGGAATTTTTTAAATGAAAGTTAGTCTAGTTGAATTCTCTATATGCGTAAACTTTCCGATCAAAATTCGAACATGCGAGTTTTTCGAAAACCTAGGGCTGCTAGAAAATATACATATTAAAAATTCGATAGAAACCCATATCCTTTTTTTTTTTACGAAAATGATCAGAAAACAATCTCTACAGGATCGGCTAGATCTCAGCCCGTTTCTAGGAAGAACACTTAAATTTGTTCTCTTGTGAGCCTGTCACAATCTTTCAGGAATTCAAGTTTCTATCCTTGTACTTCAACACTCCTTTCATATCGTGCTTCACAAAATTTAGTTTCATACTTCGTAGACTACGATATAGTTTTTCATCAATGTTTAACGTTTTATGTCTTATAGAATATGTACTTAAACTCGGATGTTCTATTCTCATAGCTAAGTAAAAGATGTTCTAATTGATCGGATATGAATTTGTTTTTTTTTTCTTACCAACTAATTCGATATTTGTAAAATCAAGTAATTTAGCTAAAGATGCAGCACCATGTAAAGCTTTTGAAACAAATTTAAGCCATTTACATGTATTTAATTTTGTCAACCATTTATCATCATCATCATCTATAACGGGAAACAAAAATCAAAGACAAAAACAAAAACAAATTCTTTTAAATACCAGGTGCTATTACACATATTTCAATTAATTTTTCATAACTTGCTTGTAAACGTTTTAAATTACATGGAAATTTTGATAGATTATAACGTTGAAATGGTTGTTCATATAGATAATCAGATGTAGGAACTAAATTTGTATCTGTTGTAACACGACGTAAACTAAAAGAAATATTTTCTATTATTCAAAATAAAGCAAAATTTGTTGTAATTGTTTTTTTTTTTTTTTAGCATATTAAACAACATTCCAACACCAATAACAATGACAATAACTACACATGCAACATATAGAAAATAGCAACGGTTACCGAGCATATGCGTATGTCTCACCCATCATCGGGCGGCATTTGCGACAAGTCACTTAAGTCACTAGTTGTTGTTTTATTTTCATTTGTATTTACTAATTTTGGAGTATCAAGAGTATTTCGACGTAAAGGTTTCAATATATTTTTTTTTATTTTAAAAAAACGAAATGGTGATGATGATATATTAGATGGTAAACTCGTTGGTGTTTCCCTACTTGTCAAGAGTAAAAATGAAGAAATTCAAAAAAATTGAAAAACAAAAAAATCTTAATTATCTTTGAAAATTTCACTAAAATTTTTCTACTATTATTTGTTTTTTTTTTTTTTATAATATCAACTTACGGTTCTACACTACTCGTGGTTTCTCCAATTCCTGGAACAGTAATAAGCATATATTTTTGTGTTTGTACTTGTCTTCTATTGTTACTATTATTTTCAACTTGAGATGTATGTGTCCAATGCCAAATCTTTAGAATACAAAAAAAAAATTCAGATACATCCTTAAGCAAAAGTCTTCTTCTCCTCTTTTTTTTATGTAAATTTTTAATATTTGCTTTCTTTTTATTATTGAACTAAATTATAATAAATATATTTTATTTTATTATGATGTATAGTCACCATTTGTTTCAATCAAGCATTTTACTTGTTTTTTCATGCCTTTCTAATGTCTTGTTTCAATTTTTTTTTTGATTTATTGCATCCTTCATCATCAACCAAAATGTTTTCAATTGGATTTTGATGTGGTAATGAAGAGAGTCAAGGTAGAACCTGAATTCAGTTGTCAATTGCTAGACGAAATCAATGTTTAGTATCATTATCCTCTTGGAAGATTCAGATGTATGTATGTTCAGGAAATCGACAATGAGCAGTAGGCAGAAAATCGTTTTCATATATACTGCACATTAAAATTCCAGTCAAAATGTGTTTAAAAGCAATTGATTATCTGAAACTTTGTTTTAGAACACATCTCCAGACGTGTAATTTGAGAGAATATTTGACTATATGAACAATTTTAGGGACATCTAACAATTTCCAAAACTTTTCGTCCCAGACGGATCGTTATTCACGATGTTTATTTGTAGATAAGGATTCTTTAAAGATGGACGATAACTTCCATCGATTTCACGTAATTGGCATCTAACAGTACTTGAATCTATATTTGCGCCGTTCTTTTTTTTTTTTAGAATTTTTGCAATATAATTTTTATATAACATTTAGTTCACATTTGGCAATATTAAAAATGTGTGTATCTATTTTCTTTGAGGTGACACGTAGTCGTTCAGTTCTTGATAAATTAGACAGGTATTCATTGTCTTGCCAGCTGACAAGCCAACGCCGTACGACTTTATGTTCACACCCATTGTACTTCGAAATAGTTTTATTTGATATTTTAGGACTCAGTGGATGTAACTTGAGAAACACAACTTCATTGCATTGTGATAGAGAAAGTAGCATGTTTAAAATCTTACAAAAAAAACCCATTCTCGACATCGATCCACATAAGACTAGATTATCCGAATCAACAAATAAGAATATTAGAAGCAAGAACGACTATCCTCTAGAGCTGTATTTATGATAAAAAGAAAGCAAATATTAAAACTTTAGAAAAACAAAAAGAGAAGAAGAGACTTTTATTCAGGAATGTAAAATAAATAAAAAGTTTTTTTTTTTCTTACCAAATCACCAGAACTATCATTGTCTTTACTATATATTAAACGAACATAAGGACCTTCACTAGAAGAAAAAAACAACAAATCAAAATAGATTTTTTATTGAGAAATTTT